CGTAGTGTACCGGACACAGTAAGTTTAGTTAGGTTAGCTGTGGGGGAAAGGGGAGGGAACGTTTGAGGTTTTACCACCCAATATAGGTTATATTAATTAGGAGCAAATTAGTACATTGTGCCTACCATGCTGACACTTCTAACACTAAGCTAATGGTGACCTCAAACTAACAACCACTTCCCTCACTGAGGGCTCTCAGAACACCAGAATGTTGGAGGCTGGCAAAGAGACACATGATACCTGTTCTCACTTATACGCCCATTGATAGTTCATTTTTCTTTGTCTCTCTTCACTTTTAACTGTATAATAGGCTTTAAAGCTTAGATGAGAGCGTACTTTAATGAATAATATACTAAATAAAGAACAATAGCATTAGCATAACTAAAACTCACACTTAGAGATAATTCATGGGCTTAACTAGTTTGCATGCTTTAACTAGATCATCTGAAAACACAAATTACATTTCTTTCCTAATTCTTTATTAGAGTTTGAAGATGATAGAGAATCATACGAAAGGGAGTGTTTGCAATAGATATAATAAAGGAAATCGTTTAGATGATACTACTTATTGTATTTTAATAATGGGAATGATTACAAAGATTGAAACAATGTACTAAATGGCTGAAATAATTATTTTCTTTAAGTAGCCAAGAGGGATTTTTAAGAGGTAAATAATTTCCCATCCTTGTCCAAAGTATATTAAACCTGGGTTGACCAGTGCCTTTAACATATTAATCAATAAACTCTCATCTGAAGGAATGTTATGTGGATTTATTCAACTCTAAAGAAGGCTCTATAAATATCACATGATTTACTGCTGTTTTTAAGCGACAAGTTTCTGGTAATGACTAAGATAGAAAGTGCTTCAGGCAAATTAGTGCGACATACAGAAAATTCAGTACTGGTTGCAAGAAGTTCATTAATAAGGCAGGAAATATAAATAAGTAGAATAATTTAGAATGGTAATAAGATGGTAATGCTAATAATGCTAATAACAATCCTAATAAGGATTGTTACTGTAAACGTGAAGATGTGGATATGTATGTGTAAATCTATAGAACTATGTTTAACAAATTCAAAATGTGTCTCCACTAGTTAACCAGAAAACAGTGTAGCAAAAGTCACCTCTAACTGTAGCCTGTGTTTCTTGTTTTGGCAGACATATCACATGGAGACATTCTGAGGAAATCTGAGTTATGTCTATAGCATTTATGAGTTCTCCAATGGGGACATCCCCAACAAAGAAAGGCAGAACTATCATAGGTAAATAAAATCAAGGACAGGTGGAATCCACAGACAAACTGTAAATTTAATTACTGATAAATTCCCTTTGCATTTAATAACTCTTGTCCTGTCTGTGTGGCCTCTTATTGGGATACAAAGAATTACGAGATACAATAGCCTCTTTTTATCTGACATCTATAAGTAGAATTGTCATTCCCCTCTCATGAGGAATTCATATGTGCTGCACTCAAAAGGCACTCAGATTCTAATTCCAAACATAAACTAGACTCATGCATTTCATCTCAAATCTGGGAATTCCTGTATTGATAATTCTATAGAAAGAATACAAGATAACAGGATAGACATACCAAAAAGATGACTAAGCCCTATAAACATTAAACAAAAATAGAATTTTCCAAAGGGAGGTTAAAACAAAAAAAGGAGAAAGAAATTGCTGTGGATCTGAGAACTCTATTGTAGTCAAGTGAATTTTTTACTCCAATTATTTACTTCTCCCTGTGCCCATGCTCCTCACCATATAACACTGAAATTTCTCTCAGAAAGAGTCATATGTATTTCCCCCCCTTTGGGATACAGCCTAAAACTTGCTTTTGGCTGGGCACAGTGCCTGACATCTGTAATCCCAGCACTTTGGGAGGCTGAGGCAGGTGGATCACCTGAGGTCAGGAGTTTGAGACCAGCCTGACCAACATGGTGAAATCCTGTCTCTACTAAAAATACAGAAATTAGCTTGGTGTGGTGGTACATCCCTGTAATCCCAGCTACTCCGGAGGCTGAGGCAGCGGAATCGCTAGAACCTGGTAGGTGGAGGTTGCAGTGAGCTGATATTGTGCCACTTCACTCCAGCCTGGGTGACAGAGTGAGACTGTCTCAAAACAAATTAATTTAAAAAATAAAACTTGCTTGGACTAATGAGATGCAGGCAGAAGCGTTTGCCAGCTGTATACCAACATCTTATGTAGCACTGTAGTTTCTGCTTGCCCCAGTGTTCTGCAGCCGTGACAATCAGAAGAGCAGGAGAGACACATAGATTGGAAATGACTCCAAGCACCGGCAGAAGCTAAACCTGGCCAGACCTGGAACTAGAAGCAAAGCTACCCAGCTGAGTCCAACCTATATGAAACTTCCAAGTTAATCCACATGCATGGGATAAACAAATGCTTATGTTTGAAACCCATTAAGAGCTTGAGGTTATTTCTTACACAGCATTCTTGTTACAATGGCTACCTGATACATTTATAAATTAAAGTGGGCAAAAGAAATATTCTTCCCTTCTAGTAATCTGTAAAGAATATTTCCTTCCTCCTGAGATTTAGCTTTCATTTATTTACAATGAAAGTCAGCAAATTCATGCCTGATTGAAAGAGTGTTACCTCCAATGAGTTCATTGTAGGTTGGCCACTGACTTACTTTTTTCCTCATTATCATGCTGACAATCATATTGACTTTCAAATGCTTACCCTTTCTCTAATGTGTTGGGGATACCAACCCCTGTATGACCTCATCTGTAAACTTGTGGGGTTAAGTGATCACTGGTTCTTCAGGTCCCAGACTTCCAAGGAGAGATGTATGGAAGACCACAGCATGGTGGGCAGAGGAGGAAAGCTAAACAATAGGAGTGCTAACCTATCAATCAGCATAACTCTGCTTCCATCTGTGTTAGCTATGAATTCTTCATGTGGAAAATCAGTTTTACTATTTAAATATCAAAAACTACTAGACCAGATGTTTTCTAAAGTCTTCTAATACTCAAAGCCCTATGATTACATTTTTACTTTGACCACTCCCTTCTCTTTATTTCTATTCCCATGACCCTAATTTAAGACACTATCACCTAAACTCCTGTATCACTTCCTAACCTGACACTCTGCTTTAAGCTGTAAATTGTGTCATTTTATTCCCCTACTTAAAATGAGAGAAAACCCAACTTTAACGGGGCCCCCAGGCTCTCCCTATTGCTCCAGTCTCATTTCCTGCCCCACTTCCCCACCTTTCATCCTGGCTTAGAACACGCCCCACTCTTCATCACCTTGGGGTTTTCTCCCATGCTGTTCCCTCTGCTGGAAATGCTTGTCCTCTATTCTTTTTGCCTTCAGTGTCATGTTATAAGTCGGCCTCTCAGAGACTTTCTTCGATCACCTAAACTACAGAAGGCCCCACCTGACCCTTATCATTCTCTATGACAGCACATTCTTCTTTCTTTCTTTGCACTTATGACTTACAGTTATGGAAACACTTGTTGGTTGTTATATTATTCAACTTCCTATTAAGTATCAGCTCCAGGTGGACTGGGCTGAAGTTGTCTGGTTTATTTTTGTATTTTTAGGACCCAAAGCAGTACCTGGCACATAGTATATATGCAATAATATAGATGAGTGCATGAACTAATGAACTTCTTAGCTTTTGTCAACATCTTTTTCTACCACTTTTCTATATCATATAACATTTCCCTAGAACGTGATCTCAGTCTTTCATTTGCTTATACCTGCTCTCTTAGTTACCTTCCTTAAACCATGCATAATGTTCCTTATGTTCTTGAACATTAGAATTTTCTCTTCAACTTTCTTATTCATCATACTTCCCTCTTCTTACTCTTTTCATGTGCGAGTGGTCACTATCTGGTAGGTTGTGGGAGATTATTATAAAGCTGATCCCAAATCTTAGAATTAGATTCTATTTAGGATAAAATTAACAAGAATAGTCCTTCAATAAATAAGACCAGATACCTATAGAAGTAAATACTCTATGCACCTGACTGAGGTGACGGAGGAGTTTGGCAAATACCTAAATTTCAAGTAAGATGACCAGGAAATGATTTTAGGAAAAAACAATAACAAAAAGTATATCCTAGCTAATTTAATTGACCTCCGTCAGAAGAAAAGAAAAAAAAAAAATAAGTGCTTGGTTTGTAGATAGCCTAGAAAATATGGACACAATGAACAAATAATGTGGAACTCCATTGCTGGAATGTGGATTTTTCTAGCAATGCCTGGAATAGAGAAACACAATATCTGATAAAGGTAATATTACGATTATCAGAGAAATGAAGGCTGTGGGAGGGAAATGTATTGGTCACAAGCTCTCACTATTGTTTAAATGCACCACCTAAGAGGATGCTTTGAGAGTCGGCATGAGGCTACTGGCTGCTGAAATGAGAGCTCCCTCTGCAAGTGAAGAAGCTGGCATTTCGGCTTAGGCAGCGGTCTCTGATGAGTTGGTTTAGTATGAGTCAACTTACAAAAATTCAATCTATTCTGGGTGTACTGAAAACATTTAGTTTCTTGATCTGTAAAGCCAAGATCCATACCTTAAACCACAGTTATGAAAGAAAAAGGCCGAGCCTGGGCAGTCAGTAGCCTTCCTTGGACTCCAATTATATCTTGCCTGGCTTTCTTTCCAATTCTCATATGAACCACACTCTATTTCTTGTTATTGGCCATACCTATTACTATCAACCTGTTGATAATTACGTGATGTACTTTCGTGAGCATGTGATTACACAAAATGAAATTAAGAAATGCAAGCATTTTTTTGTCATTGTGGCAATCTGACACTCCTTAGAACTAAGACACAGTGCCGTAGTCTCATCATACATTTCTGTGAGTGCAGTCCTAGGATTCCCCTTTTACCCAAAGTTATAAATTTGTATAATGTCTTGGAAAGTTGTTTGGGAGCTCATAAGCTACCTGTAGTAAACAGCATATGGGACAATTAATAAAGAAAGGTGTTAGAGAAAATACCAAAACTTTTCAGACCTGGGACGGAAATCTTCCCCACAGTCGGATGCTCCATCTCCATAATAAGGCTGTTGTGTAATACCTGAAAAGGCAAAAACAGAGAGAAAAATAACTTACAAAATAAAACCATCTTCAATTACAAGGCATGGACAGTCATCTATTCAGTCAACATCAAAGAAAGATATGGCAAAACACAGAGATGTTTAAAATTTTAATTTGAAAGTAAATACTTGACATAAAAATAATGTTTCATCTTATAATACACCAAATGAAGCCAAAAAAGACTAGAGGATTCATGGACTAGAAAACATTTCAATAAGACCTTCCCACTCTTAAAATTTTTATTTGCCCCTAAATATAGCAGACGATTTCCTCTCTTTCATCTATGGATGCTCCCCTAATATTAAAGCTCAGCCCTTTCCTGCATAACCTTATGGCAGGACTCGGCCAAGGTCAAGAAATAGGACCTCGAACAGAGCAGCACACTGGGGTGGTACACATGCTCCTGGAAAACTGTGCAGCAGAAGGTATGGGGAGTCAGTCCATTTGAAGAATAAATCAGAGTATCCAGAAGGCTCGGTGACTGCTGGAGGTGGAAAAATTCAGGGCTGCTGTGACAAGCAAATGAGCAGCAGACAGCAAATCCAGAGGAGACCCAGGTCAGAGGCGTGCACAGGGAAGCTGAACCAGGAACATTTTCAATGGTGGTCAAGACCTTAAGCAAAAGACCAGAGTTCAGAAACAGGATTCCAGGATACTGGAGTAAAAAAGCCAGAGACTTCATCCCAGAGGGCTGATTAGGTTCTCATGCAATGGTGAGGCAGGAAATTTAAAAAATAATAATAAAATAAAATAAATTTTTCCATATTAAATTAATTTATTTCAAAAACAACAATGAGTATATTTTTATAAATTTTTATTCTCTATAATAACTTCAAATATTCTATTTTACCTAAAAAATACAATAAAATCATAAAAAACCTAAACAAACCTAAAACTACAACTATCTAAACACCATAATAAAAATTATAAAATAAACCAATACAAAACTCTTTAAAACAAAACCTAAATAATAAACATCTAAATTACTTAACAACAATCATATACAATCCTAAATTATAAACCTATTTTAATGTAATTAACTATCTTTATCCTGCCTCTATATCCCTACTTTCACACACTATAAACTTACTTCAAACTAACCCACCCCCTTTTATAAAATATATGTAAAAATCAAATGCTATCTTTATTCTAAACCCAATCTTTAAACACTAAATCTACTAAATCTAAACACATTCAGTAATAAAAAATACCCTCCTTTATATACCCCAGAATCTCTCTCTAATCCTCCTAATCACACAACAATGGGACCGAGATAGGTATCTAGTGTCCTATCAAGAACATAAGGTAGCCTTGGCTTGGGATTAAGATCTAAGGCCAGTTACTACTGCAGGGACATTCTACCAGTGCCTGACAAGAGAAATATACTTGATGCTGAATCACTTGACTGCTGAAATGAAGCAACTTAAATCCCTGGCAAATGAAGGCTGGAATGTTTCCTGGGGGTAGGCAAAAAGACAAAATCTGCAGTGCCCTCCAACTATAAGTGGTGGATGAGCTGAGGGCATGGAACCAAATTCTGGAACATAAGTGTTGAATTATTAGAGGCAAAATGTTCTGTGATACACAAATAGAAATGCTACTTTTTTTTTCTTTTTTTAAAACAACAACAACAACAACAAAAAACAATTGGAGGCTACCTGGTTATACCGTCTCAAAGAATCCAACATCTATTACTGGAACCTCAGTAAGACATTTATGGGTATCTTACCTATAAATTGTGTTTCACCTGCACTATCTACCAAGCAGAGAACCTCTCTCTTCCTGTCCTGTACGTGCATCTAAAGGACAGAAGTATTTCAGTGGCACAGTAATCTTACAGACCACAATTTCATGCCAGCATCCCAAAGAGTGGCTGTTATAATGGTTCTACAGCATTTTGAGCTTCAGGTAAAAGTAAGATTTGCCTATCTACCTTCTTACCATAATCTGTTCGCAGAGTAAAAGAGCATGGAATAAAGAAACTAATAAAATGTTTTCTCACTTTGCTAAACTCAGAGAAAGAGCTTAAATTTCTTGGGTTTTATTCATTTCTAGTGAGTTTTTGGTCACATCATAAAATAAATCATCAATAAGACAACTTCATGGGTGACTTTTTAAGTGTAGAAATACAGTTTTGCTATGGCTAAATATTCTGGCTGCGCCTAGTTCCTTTGGAAATGGTTACCACTTTTTGGGTGATGCTCTTTAAACAACGATGTCAACCTCCCTCATTGAGGATGATAACACATCACACAGAGATTCTTTCTTTTGGGATCACCAGGTTTGTACTCAAGAGCTGGCCAGATAAAATTCTCGCCAGTGTTAGAATTGTGCTATAATTTAATTCTGGTGTGGCTCGTTCTCAGCACCCGCCCAGCACAGCTTCCTCCTATGTGGGGGTGGGGGCTAAATGCCAACGGGAGGTGCTAAATCTCAGTTCTACTGAGGACAGGAACAAAAATACCGAGCTAAATTTCACTCAAAACAATTATCTGCACACTGAATCATTCTTCTCTCCTCGTATCTCTGTTGCCCTCCTGACTACCTCTTTGTAATAACACTGCAGTGCTACTCACGAAAGACAAAAGTGAGTGTTCTTAGCTAAATATAACTTAACTGATAGTGTTGAAATTAATTAACGCTGAATTTTAATCATGTAGCAAACGTTAAGTGTCAAACGTGAAAGGGTAGTTGGTAAAGGTCAAGGGACATATGTCAAAGTTTTGTGAAGCAAAAGCTAGCAGTTGATTGAAATTTTCCACGGAAGCAGTTTAAAGAGTGTACTTTCTCCACCCCTACGCCGATTGCTGTCTATATAGGATATTTTCAGTATGAAACTTTAACCTTATCAATGCCTTTGCATTGAAAACCATTCCGTTTTAAGCAAAAATTTAAATTCTTCTTACGTTCGGCAAAGGAAGCTAACTGCAGTTTCTTATTTGCTGTAGTATGCATGCAATTATGAGGCAAACAGGCTGGTGTGAGCCCCATGTTCAGAAGGAACGGATGTATTCCCCTGCTTGGTTGCCACCCACCTTTTTATATAAAGTGTGAAGTCCATACGATTCCATAGGCTTTCTTCGCGAATCAGGTCAGAATATCCCACAGAACAATGCGGTCTGTGGCAGTGCTGTCCCTGGAAACCCTGCCTAATGACTTGGAATCTTGGAAAACTCTCCAGCCTTGTTTGTGGGGCGAATCCTGCTCTGCTTAGTAACATACTAGAGGATTTCAGAACCCAGGAAGTCTGTCTGAATTCTAACATAAATCTCTCCTGCTTCATTACCCTTTCACGTTTTACCCTTCAACTCCCTTTCATGTTTGACACTTAACTTTGCTACATGATTAAATTTGTCTCCTCTAAACTTTACTGGAAATGAAGGAACTACCTGTTACCACTATTTGCGTAACATTTTTTGGAGAATGGTTACTAAACGTTTCCTTGTTCTTTTCTCATCTGGCCCCAACACCCGGACCTCTACCACCTTAACCTAGAAATTCAATTTAAAAACGCTTCGTTTTCTGACCAGTAACAATTAACTGCTACAATTTCCCTTAAGATGTTCAAGGCTTGAAGAGAGTTTCATGCCTTGGTGCTAGGTCTGGCCATTCGGGGCATTATTTGTTGCACATTGAGTTGTTTCACTATAAGGCAGGGAATTTCTCTAGAATTTTGTAGTGAATTTTGTCCATTTGGCAATGTCTTTGGATTTTACTGTTTTCTCCTTCATTTTACTTATTTTATCCTTCCTAGGTCTTTCATGGTTTAGTAGCTCTTCTAAATTCCATTTCTTCTCCTTGAAATTTCAAAAGCCTATTCTTGACAAGAATAGAATTGTAGACAGTGCGCCAACCTCTTTAGCAAAGTATCAGGCCTATTTAAATAAGGTCTCTCTTTCTTTCTCAAGCATTTTACAGATTGACAGCCTAATGACAGAGTCAAATGGTAATGTATTAATGATGGGGGGAAAGAGTAAAATGTATACCTTAAAGTAACGTGGGAAATAAAAGTTTAAGTGAAAGTAAGAAAGTCTTTTTATAAAGTCCTATGGCAGAAATGGCAGAAGAAAAAAATTTGTAATATAGCACTAGCAAGACAAAAAATGCAAAAAATAAACATCGATACCCTTTCTATAGACAGTGAAACTATTTATGGAAAATGAGAGAGGAATATTCAAACGAAAAGACACGAAATTACATACACAAATGATATTTGTAAACACCACACTGTCCTTACACATATCAAAATCAAAGTAATACCATCAATGGTATTAGCAATAATGCACAAAAGAGAACTGACCTATCTATTCACAGTGAATAATGATATGACCTATTCATTCAATTCAACAAACACCATAGCACTCATATGCTAGGCAAAATGAAGAAGCTGGCAGTAAAAAGATGAATGAACCTGCATTAAAAATGTATGTACTTAGAAGAGAGGGTACAGAATAAGAGAGCTTTTTTATAGCACAGTCATATAAATTGTTATAACACAGTTTAAGCTCCATAACAAAGGAACAAATCCAATGAGGAGCAAGTAAGTAACTCTGCTTATCTTGAAAGAAGTTGATGATTTGTTAGATTAAGATAATATGACTTAGGTCAGGGAGGTTAGTAAATACCAGAGAACAAAGATAATATTGAAATTAGATGTTAAGGTTAAAAACAACAATGATAAATGTAATAACAGCAGATGCTGCTCTACAAAACTCCTTAAGGGTCAGGCATTGTGTTAGGAGCTAAAGCTTTGTTCGTTTAATCCTCTCATTAACCAGACTAGGTAGGAAGTATTATCTTCATCTCTACTGATGAGGTGTTAGAAACTTAGAGGAGCTATTTGTCCAAGATTTCGTGATTATTAAGTGGCTGATCTTGGATTATAATTTAGGTGTGTCTAATTTAGCCAGGTTCCTGGCAGTTGGAGGGAAAAAAAAATGGAAAAGCATTATTTGATTTACCATTAAAATAACTAGTTGA